CTCCAGCCACACCTCCTGCCACTCTGGCAACCAGCTCGGCTCCGGATCCCAGGGTCTTGCCAGTTCCACGCACACCTTGATTGTCCCTAGGTCAGAACTGTGCCAGCCAGGACAACACAGCCAGAATACCAACATGAATCAAGACACTTTGCATGATCTTGTATTTCCCCAGTATCATTGTCATTTTTGAAAATCATAAATGTTTCTGATTTTATACATATTATTTACTTTATTTTATAGGTAGTTCTTTACAAATGTCTTTACAACGGGAGGAAAATCAACATAACTTTTCATCCATGACTTGCGAATACAGGATGATCAACTCACGGATCTGAGTCATGATAGTCAAAAACTATCATTTACCTGCATTGCTATTTAAATAGCTTGTGAACATGAAGTCATTTAAATATAAAAATATTTTAAGAGATTAAATTTTTTTCATGCGGCCAAAATCAGTATGATAACAACGTGGTCCTAAAAATCGCCTTCTTTTTCTCTCCTGTCTTTTTCCCTCCTCATTCATGGTCAGCATCTAGGTGCTTAACAGATACACAAGCTTTCTTCACAGAATTCTGTCATGGAGACCACAGGGTTCCTTTGTCTCCTTGTTAGCATAGTCTAGAGCTGTATTTATCTAGGTCTCCTCAGTGCCTCTGGCGCTGTCTATAGCCCAAGTGGGCACATTTCATCTCAATTAGGAGCTTCAGAAGAATGCAAGGCAGGGGAGTGTCAGAGGTTACAGCCTTTTAATGGGATGAAATTCAAATGAAAATTGGAAAACAATCCAAGAAATCTACAGATGATGAGAACTGAGGAAACTCAATTAGGAAAAACTATAGACTTTCCTCCTTTGGGGGTTTGGCTTCTTTATGCGGCTGTAGTGGCCTATTTGGTGATAAATAAATAGAGAAGCTCAGGGCTTACCGCCTCCATTGGAAAGAAAGGTAAGTTACTCTAAGGCCTTTGTGTCTGTGCCCTCCCTACGATCTGATCAGCCAAAGCTAATTAGAGAAGTTTGACATTTTCTGTCATTCACCATCATTGCCCAAAGAAAACAAAGTATTTTGGTGAGGTTCAATGTGAATAAATGAAGCAAAGCAGAACTTTTGTGGAGGGGTTTTCCCATGGGAAGCTCCAGTACGCACGTCTAAGTAGACGCAGATGGACGTTTTCTGTCACTGCTCGTCACTGGGGGAAAAACAGTACTAAACTCTACCTGATCCCTTTATTCTGTTGTATGTTTCATTTTTGCTACCTAGAATGAGTCTGACCTGGGAAATAAAGCCAGCTCTTTATTTGTTTGGTAAGTAGCCTCTATATGGTGTGCACCGCTGTTGGCAGGACCTTGGTTTCTTAGGTAAACATCAAATTACCACGCAGGTCAGAAGGCATTCTCTTGGGGAAACAGTGTGCGAGGGGTCTGCTTTCACTACCTTACTGGGTAGTTATTTGAGGCTGTTACTCCTGTTTTGCCTTCTAAGCTTCTAAGTATACAGATTGAATCTACACGCTTCGCTTGCAGCTTGCTTATCTGTAGGAGAAGCATGGGGACGTCTCCCAAAAAGAATAAAATTGGCACCTTTAAGTTCTGCGGGTCAGGAGTCCACAGCAGAGCAGCTCCTGAGTTCAGTTCAGTTCAGGGAGCCTTTTGAGGAAAGCCGCTTCTAAACAAAGCTGGAATTCCCAGTCTGCATTCTAGGAGACTCCAAAATACCATCCTGAGTTAGAAAGATGAAGTCCTACAACAAATAGATCTAAAGATTGGATGAAGGTACAGCTAATACCTACAGCACTCCTTATTAAGGCTCATCTTACGAGCCAAAGGTCATGCTCAGCTATTTCATTTAATTAAAATTAAACCCTCCATACTGCTGGGTGGTGGTGGCGCACACCTTTAATCCCAGCACTAGGGAGGCAGAGGCAGACAGATCTCTGTGAGTTTGAGAAAAGCCTGGTCTACAGAGCTAGTTCCAGGATAAGCTCCAAAGCTACAGAGAAACCCTATCTCAAAAAAACCAAATAAATAAATAAATAAATAAATTTTAAAAACTCCATATTTTTAACCCTAAAGAATTCTGTGCTGTGGACATATTTTGGCTTACTTAAAGTTATACCTCTAGCAAGCTATAACAAACTTGCTGGCATCATCTCTGCCAATCATAGGTTTTTGTCTTATTACAACTGGAACACCTTCGTCACTGAGTTAAATCATTAAACTTGAGGAAGGAAGAGGAAGGAATGATTCAAAGACAGGAAAGATGGCTCTGTGGCAAAGAGCACTGACTGCTCTTGCAGAGAACATGGGTTCAACTCCCAGCACCCACATCACATCGGTCACAACCACCTGTAACTTCAGTTCCAGGGAATCTGAAGTCCTCTGAGCTGCACTGGCACATGTAAACTCCTGCAAGTATACACACACACACACTCACACACTCACGCACACACACACACACACACACACACACACACGTACACGCACACGTATTCAGGCACATGCACACAAACATGCACGTGCACACATACACATAAATAAAAGTAATAATTATATTTTAAAATTAAAAGAATGATCCAAACATTCTGACTGGTGAATTCAATTTTTACCATTCCAGGTGACAGAGTATAGTGTATTGTAACTTTTGTATTTTTCCTAATAAATGTTGCTCACTATATAAACCGAAAATTTCTGGTAGTAGTTTCCCCAAGCACACCTGCTCCTGATACACATATTCTGCGAGATAACAGATCAAGCACACTCAGCAATGGTGTGCAGGAATAGGGAGATGACTTGGTGAACTGCTTTCCTTTCTTCCCTAACATATGTAAGTGCTGGGTATAAAAATACATGCTTATAATGCAGGCTCTGGTGGAAAACAGATAGGTTAGTTTATAGCTTGCCTAAACTAACCGGAAATCCCAGGCCAATGAGAGATTCTGTCAAAAAAAGAAAGAAAGAAAGAAAGAAAGAAAGGAAGGAAGGAAGGAAGGAAGGAAGGAAGGAAGGAAGGAAGGAAGGAAGGAAAGAAGGAAGGAAGGAAGAAAGGAAGGACAGAAGAATAAAAAGGTGGCTAGCATCTGGGAAACAAATCCAAAGTGAATATCTGGTTTCCACGTGCACACATCACGTGTGCAAGTGCTTACATCCACATGAATAAACAAGCACACAGACATGTACAACACACAAAACATGTTTTTTCCCTCCTAAGAAAATATTTTCGGGGCTGGGGAGATGGCTCAGTGGCTGAGAGCACTGGCTGCTGCTCTGGAGAACCTGGGTTCAGTTCCTAGCACCCAAAATGACATCTCACTACTGTCTGGGACTCCAGTTCCAGGGGATCTGATGCCCTCATGTGGACATACATGCCAGCAAAAACACGAGTGCATATGAAATAAAAATAAGGAAAAAAGGAAATTGTTTTAAAGAAGAATAGAAAAATAGAGAGTTAAAAAGCTTTTTTTTTTCTTAGCATGGGTTTTATTATCAAAAACATGTCCTTACGTAGAGTGGCATCTCAGTTAAATCTCACATTATGCACATGGTGAGTCCCGTTTCTGGCGCATCACTGTGACAAATTCTTTGTGGTGAATAAGTTTGGTGCTGAGGCCGCATCATCAGCTGCCTCATCTCTTTTGAGTATTTCACCTGTACTGAGGGGCACTGATCGTTGGCTATGCCAGTCTGGGTCTGTGCAGATTCTGTCTCCCTGTCCAGCGGCAATACCTGAGAGCTGCTTTCACAAGCTCTGCAGGCCAAAGGAGACAAAAGGCCAGGAAGAATGAAGGCGCTGAGAGGGTCCTGGGAGCCAGCTCCTGAGGCCTTTCCCGTGGACTTTCTGATGTTTGAGGGTTTAGTGAACCCTATACCTTGAAAGAGCATCCTAACTAATTTTGAGATGTCCTAAGCGGGCATCTGGTTTTTCCTAATAGTAATTGTGCTTAGGCCTGTATCCCCGTGATAACTTTCTGTGGCGTGGCTACTGGTGATGGCTGTGATGTGGCATAAGAAAGCACAGTATTGTCTTTTAGGCGTCTCTGGCTGTTACTTGATTTTCTGTTTGGCTTCTGTTTCGACTATGAAATAAGAAAGCCATGAGGAAGTAGTTTAGGCGACTTTTTTTCCACCTAATTTAAAATGATTGCCCATGAGCCTCTCTCTCAGAGTGGTTGAGGGTTTATTTAAGGCCCTCGGTAGAGTCCTTGAGGGAGATGAAGCTCATTTAGACAGTATATTGATATGGCTTCTTCCCTGACTGTTGCAGAATAGCTGTGACATTTGATTCTTCAGGAAAACAGGATGGTGCAGGCTTACATCTTTGCAGGTGAAACATTTTCCAATCTAACAGACAAGAAAATATTTGATTCCTGTAAATGAGTAGATAAAATAATTTACCTGAGAAGAGTGTTTGTTTTGTATGAAATCAATTCAGTGTCACATCAAATAGAGAGATTGGCTTGCAAGATGGGACTTATTTTGTCTCTTAATCCACTGTCTTCTCACTCCTTCATTTTGTCTGTGGATGTGGTGTGTGTGTGTGTGTGTGTGTGTGTGTGTGTATGTGCATGGTTTGAGTGTGTGTAAAAAAGAGAACGATAGAATACCACTGTCTTTTCATTCCTCCATTTTGTCTCTTGTGTGTATGTGATGTGATGTGTGTGTGTGAACAACTGTCTTCTTATTCCCTCATTCCTTCATATAGTTTATGTGCATGTGGAGGGGGTATGTGTGCATACACATGAGCACATATGTATCTTACATGTCTGTCTTGGAAATGCAAAGTAAGTGTAATTCGAGTTGACAAATAAGGGAACTACACAGTTGAGTCCCGCAGACAATCGTTTCCTTATATAAAGAGTAACATCACGATTTAATCTCATATTATGCATTTGCTAATCTTCTTCAATATGCCAAGATTATTTGTGCTGCCCTCAGGAATTCTGGGGGACTCACTTAACTGCCTTCCTTTGCTTAAGCTGTCATGTGCTCTGTGTTTTCTCCTTAGGAGTCATCACGGCTGCTGACATTCTTGATCGAGAGACAACAGGGTCGTACTGGCTGACCGTGTATGCCACAGACAGGGGCGTGGTCCCTCTCTATTCCACCATTGAGGTCTACATAGAAGTTGAAGATGTGAATGACAATGCCCCACTGACCTCGGAACCCATCTATTATCCCGTTGTCATGGAGAACTCTCCCAAGGATGTGTCTGTCATTCAGATACAAGCTGAAGATCCTGACTCTGGTTCCAATGAAAAACTGACCTATAGGATTACAAGTGGAAACCCACAGAACTTTTTTGCCATCAATATCAAAACAGGTAAGGGCATACTTGGCTGAACTGAAATTGGCTGTCTAGTTTTACATGTGTTGTCGGGCCCTTGCTGATGCTGGTTTTTCTATTTTGTTGTCCAGAATACAGAGTCTCCTTCTCTAGAAGTAGTTTTTGCCAAGGTAGATGCTTTTCCTGTCTACTTGGGATGTTTTAATCTCACCTGACACAGAGGTGAACTGATGTATTAAGAACCAGAAGCAACACAGAAAACCAGCTGCAGGTTTGCTCCGCTCGTTGTAACATGTGCTCCAGGACCACTCGAATGGTCAGCTGCCTTCTCTCCTTGAGAGCAGGGCAGTTGGCCTACGCTGGGTTCTTTATGAGAGCTAGCATTGTAAGGTCTCTAGTTCTAGGTCCTTCTGCTTTGCTTGATTTCACTCCGGCTTGTTGGAAATGAACCTCTAAAAGGCTGAAATCTAAGCTCAGAGATTTTCAGCCCGACGTTCTCTATCAATGAAGTGTCAGTGTTCCAAAGAATTTTCCGTATCTGTGTCAATATTTGCACAAAAATTGGCAAAATTTAATTTCTGACCTTTTTCTCAGAAGGTTTCTAAAGGTTATAATAAGAATTGAATTTGCTAAGTGCATCTTGCAAAGGCACACTGATGAAGCCAATGCAGACTTTGACTGAGTGTGTCCTGACCAGGATGCCCACTGGACTGTGGCTTTGTGGTGGAGTCAACCTCAGCATTCTGCTGCTCTCCTGTGCTATGTGACTTTTAGATCTGAGCAAAGACATCGAGCCCTCAGGGAGAACGTAATGGATGGGGTTTTAATTAATTGAGATTGAGAATAATGGAATTCACATTGCTCTGGGCAGGCGGGTTAACATTGGTCAGCGTTGGGCTTGGTTGATGCTTGTTGGTGTGGAGAGACTTTCCTCAGGAGCCTTGATGAAATTAGTAATTATTCACCTTATTTGTGAAAAGGGAAAGATTCAGTGGCCTTTATGTCCTTTGTAAATATCAAGTTCTAGTTCACAAACTTTGAAGGTTGATATTTTTGGTTGTTTGGTTGTTTGTTTGTTTGTTTTTATAACCCTACTTCTGGGTCAGTCAGTCAATTTTCAAGCCTATTTCAAGGGTCTTAAAAGTATTTGGTCAGGACTTGACTTCTGTTTCATTATAAAAGAAGGTGGTAGCAGCTGGCAGTGTCTGGCTAAGGCTTACGTGTACTAGAAGGCGAGAGCTCAGATAAAGGTGCCCGGCCCCGCATCTGCGGAGCACAAAGCACAGACCATCACCATATGCCTGAGGGTTAAGTCCTTGTATTGCGCCAAGAAGACCTCGTGCTCCACTTCTGTGCTGTAACATAGGACTATAAAATGTGGATAAAAATGAATTCAAATACTTTACAGATTTAACAGGGAGAAAGGAGAGGGAAGGGGGAAGGAGAAAAGCAAAGGAAATGTCGACAAATGAGTTGTGAGTGGCATTTGATGCCTCACACTCAACATATGATCGCTTCTTGACCTGTTGTCATTTCAGTCACCAGAGGACCCGACACCCTGCTTTTGAGTTAAAAGACTCTACAGAGGGACAAGTTCAGCTGCTACTGACGTTACTTAGAGTTGAAAAAGAAAAATACTTCCTTGGGGCAGACCTAGACTTCCCTGGCCATCCATCCCAGCCTAATGAGTTCCAGGCCAGTGAGAGACCTTGTTTCAGAAATAACATAGACAGTGTGGCTGAAGAATAACCTTCAACGTTGTCCCCTGGCAGCCACACACACATGTGGTCATGTGCACACACACACACACACACACACACAAATATATATACACATGTGAACATACACGCTTACATACACACACATTCTTACAATACAGGATGGCCATTACAGATAATATGTATCTGGTGTGAAGAACTTTGACTAGACCTTGGGTGCTTTGTGCTTACTGTCTTTTATGCTCATGAATTTTCAGAAAGCCTTACATTATCATAATGTGGCTTACATTGCATAATAAGAACCTTAATTGTATTCATAATTTCTCTGTCTTTGCCAGAGATTTTTAAAAAATGTACCCAGAATGACATTTTCATCTAACTTGTCTAATTTTCCCAAAGAAATGGACAGCATGCCTTGGCTTTCAGACATAATATAAGAAAATAATATATCTTGTTTATTCAGTTATTATGATTTTTGCACTCATTTCTTTTTATCACAAAAATCCTGTTGTATGGAGGCCATGAGTTAGTTCCCGGCTGCTTAGCCCCGAAATAATTACACAAAAGCTGTATTAATTAAACCACTGCTTGGCCCATTAGCTCTAGCTTCTTATTGGATAACTCTTACATAGTAATTTAACCCATCTCCATTAATCTGTACATCACCAGGAGGTTGGGGCCTACCAGCAAAGTTTTAGCATGTCTGTCTCTGGCAGCAGCTTCATAGTTTCTCCAAACTCTGCCTCCTTTCACCTAGCATTCTGTTTAGTTTTCCCTGCCTAGCTCTGTTCCCCTATAGCTCCACTATAAACCCAAAGCAGTTCCTTTATTAATCAATGATATTCGCAGCATATAGAGGGGAATCCCACATCATCTCCCTCTTTCTGTTTAAATGAAAAGGAAGGTTTTAACTTTAACATAGTAAAATTACATATAACAAACATGTATCAAGCAATAATTAGTTACAATATTTATATCTTCTTTATCTTTTATCATAACTAAGGAAAACTACAACTGTAACTATAAATTCTTCAACTCCACCAAAGATTCCAGAAGGATATAATATTATCTAAGTAAACAGGAAGTGCATTGTAAGCAACTTCCAAAACTTTAGAATCTTGCTGCCTGGACAGTCACCCAAAGTTCTTCTGTACCATTGGGGCATCCAATCTTCAGCCTACAGGCCCATAGTATCCATCAAACTTTTCCATGAAACAGGAAATTTCAAAGACAGTTCTGTCTATATTGGCAGTTTGTCTGCAGAATGCCTGGCAGACGCTTTTATGAAGCAGGAATCCCAAAGGATTGTCTCACCTTTAGGCAAGTTCAGCAGTCTTTTTTCTGTGGGTCCTGCATGCCCAGTTCATAAAGAAGTCCAGACAAGAGCAGTTTCTTGCCCAAACTAAACTATGGCTAACCAACTCCATAAGGAGTCTCTGTGATGCCCATCTTCCTCTTGAAGTAGACTGGAGCTTCCAGGAGCATATGTGTCTCACTGCCATGAAAAGTCCTAAGTTCTTAAAAGATTTTAAATGCCATATTCTGAAGGACATTGAAAGATTTGAAGAATGCCGAACTGAAATATATCTCTATGTATCTAAAACACTTAATTTACATGATTACAAGCTTGGCTATTATAGATGAATATCTATTACATTTTTAATTACATTTTTAAATGAGCTGCACAAACACAATAATACCTTAATCAAAAACAGAAATGTACATATAACAAAACTGACCTTAAAATTGTATCAATAAACTAAGGTCTATACCAATGCAAATCTCTATAGCATATCCACTTTTAAATGAAAACAAACCTTTGTAAACAATATTATGGAAGGTGAGTATAGTTTTCTCCAAACTGCTTCCTGCTATTTATTGGGTGAAGTAATTTTTTAAAGATGATTAATTTATTTACTTATTTATTTATTATTATACAATATTCTGTCTGTGTGTATGCCTAAAGGCCAGAAGAGGGAACCAGACCCCATTACAGATGGTTGTGAGCTACCATGTGGTTGCTGGGAATTGAACTCAGAACCTTTGGAAGAGCAGGCAATGCTCTTAACCTCTGAGCCATCTCTCCAGCCCCGGGGGAAGTCATTTTTGAGGGGGGTTCAAGGCAACCTTTCGAGGAGTCTTGGTCCATCAAACCACATTAGTCTGGAAGCAATCCATAGGTTCTCATCCTCCTTGGAAACAAAAGAAGAACCTCTTTTCCAAAGCAACATTTCCTTATATCCATATTTTGAAATCAAGATACCTTTAAAGTATATATGTTGGTTTAGTTTACCAATCCCTGGAATCAAATGTCTCTCTATAGTCAATAAATTCAAAGAAGACACAATAATATACACAATCCAGACACTGTGAATTTTCCATTTTTATGTGACTTATTTTGCTTATAATCTATGACTGTATGTACTCTGTCTCTTTAAAGACTTTGTTTTAATTTTTCAAAACCATTTACTTCTTTTTATAGCTCTCTATACTCTTTTCTCTCCCAAGTCTACATACATTTATCCAACACTGTGACCCATTTAGAGGTCTTTTATGTCCGAATCTGTCCTATTGTGTATCTGTAATTTTTTTCCTGTCCAGGAGCACTTCTTAAAATGCTAAGCTCTTCTTATGAACTTAAGTGGCCACATTACCGGGGGAAATAGGTCCCTGCCTGCTTGTTCCACCCAGTTCTGCATGGCAGAGCTGTTTGTTTCCTCTGAGAGCCATGCTCACAGTCACATTTTTAGGCACACAGCTGGTCTATGTTGCCATTAAGCAAGTTGTCACAAATCCCATTTAAATGCTTGGTCTCCTGAAAGAGCCAGAGGTTGTGCTGGTGGTATGGCCCAGAAAGAAGGTATTTCAAAACACTGAGGCTTTTTTTCTGTTACCGCTGAGTCAGGAACACCTCTCTTAAAGGAGCTGTGTCATGCTGCCAGAAAACAAGGAGAAACTGTGTTAAACTCTGTGCTTTTGTGTCTAGAAATCCTTTTCAAGCTCTCTCAGGTTTTTATGTGGATTTAGTTGGCCACATTGGCATGCCAATTTATTATATGGAGATTGCTAGCTAGTTTCCGGCCACTTAGCCCCAAAATAATTACACAGAAACTGCATTAATTAAATCACTGTTTGGCCCATTAGCTCTAGCTTCTTATTGGCTAACTCTTACATAATAATTTAACCCATCTCCTTTAATCTGTGCTTCACCAGGAGGTTGTGGCCTACCAGCAAATTTTCAGCACATCTGTCTCTGGCAACAGCGCCATGGATTCTCCCTGACTCCGCCTCCTTTCTCCCAGCATTCCATTTAGTTTTCCCCACCTAGCTCTGTTCCCCTATAGCTCTGCTATAGGCCCAACGCAGTTCCTTTATTTATCAATGGTAACCCCAGTATACAGAGGGAAATCCCACATCAAAATCCTAAAAATAAGATCATAAGCTTAGGATATGTTTTCAGCTTTAAAGGGACGAGAAGTACTATGAAAGTCACAGAAGAGTTGACACTTATGGCCAGCGACAGAACCGATACTGATGTGCAGGAGGTTTATTGACTATATGGTTGGCAAGGGTGATGGTCAGGGAGGAATTGCTTTATGTTTAGAATCAGGTCTTTAAACCTTTGCCCTGGACTTCATGAATGTGAAACCCTATGACCACCACAGAGAACACACAATAAATCAGTCAGTGCTGGTATCAGCAGCTTTCTGTCCTTGGACAAGTTACTGATTCCCTCTGTAGGTCTGTCTGTGGGGCACTATCTTTATTAGGCTAATTGATATGGAAATACCTTGCCCACGGTGGGTGATACCATTCCCTAGCAATCCTGAACCGTGTAAAAGTGAATAAACTGAGCTGGGAAAAAGCAAGCAAGCGAGCATGCATGTTTTCATTTCTGCTCTTGACTGTGAGTATAACGTAACCAGAGGTCTCAAGCTCCTCCCACTGAGAGCTGGAACTATGAACTGCAATAAACGTCTTTAAGTTGCTTTTTGTAAGAATGTTTCTCACAGTTGCAGAAATGAAGCTAGAACAATGAGTAAGGATTGCTGCGAGGAATTTGGGAGTCCCATGAGGATGTAACCACACTGCCT